CGGTTATTTCATGGGTCTGGGCGTTCATTGCCACCGTTGAAATGAGTCTACTGAAAAATCGCATCGAGGCCGCCGACAATCTTGCTAAAAAAAGGTTCAATTTTTAAAAGACGAAGAGGGGAAGAAGATGATAGAAGCTGCCAAACAAAATAAAAGCCTAGATATCCTCAAAATATGGTAATTTGACAGACGATTCAAAGCTTGACGAAAAACCCCATGCTCTATGAATTGCAGATCTTGCTAAACAAAGACGAAGAAGGGAAGAAGACAAAGATGATAGAAGCTGATCCCTAAATCCCAAAATCCCCAAATCCCCAATTTTATTCCTTAAACAACTTAAGGGTATAAAAGTAATTTGCATAATTTACTGATTTTGAGGTATTTGTCCAGCCATGCCTCCATCTCAGCATCCATCTCAGCAAAAAGAAGGCCATGTCAGACACAGAGGAAGGACTGATGAGCAAACTGTTAAATGTTAACGGAAGGGTTAAGAGAGGGGCTGATTTGCCACTACAAGTGAGTTGAGGGGTTGATTTGCGCGTGAAGTGGGTTGAGGGGGTGATTTGCCACCAGTTGTTGAGTTTAGGGGGTGATCTGCACCTTTTGCCAATACTAAAAGTCCAGTCATATAGATTGCCAAAATTGCCCCTCCGCGGTGCTGCGTTTAATCTGGTTGTTCGTTGTTGGCCGTTTAAACCAGATTTTCCGAAGCTCTTGTTCTTGGACTATTCATCCGTTTTGTTCCTAGCCATTTCCACCCAACCCCGGTACTTAGTTCTAAATCACCATTTGAAAAACGTTTTTATCTTCGACCAAATTACTTAAAACTCCTCTAGTTACAATTGTAAAATCAAAACAACCTTCAACCCCCTTTTTGGAAGTGTTTATGTCAAAAATCACGGATATAAGTATCTCGATTTGGAAACAAATAAAATATTTCATTCAAGACATCTTACATTTTTAATCGGACATTCTTTCCTCTTCATACAATCTTATCTATGTTTCCCTTAGAATCAATTTCTTTATTATCTAAATCCAACGTGCCTTATCTCCTTCTACCCAAAAAAAAAAAAAAAAAAATCCAACGTGCCTTCTACTGTCTTGTCAAATTCTGGTTCATTTGAACTAACACAAAAGCTGCCAATTGAAACACAAATCAAGTCACCAACCCATGTTCTTCACTCCGCGGAACCACCGGTAGTGGAGTCCCCATCCACTGTAACCTCACCTATTCATTCCTTTGGTCCTCAAACCGTACCAACTAGCTCTAATCCACCTAATTCCTTGCATTTTTCTCCACCTATTTCTCGCCTTTATCTCCACCTAATTCCACCGTTCCTCCAACCGTATTTCATTCCCCCTCTACTTCTTCCCCTTTATCTCCACTTATTCAACCTCCTCCATAGCCTCCCTTACACAACTCTCGAGTCCCTCTCCTGCACCAGTTCAACCACAATCCACTAGACTACATCCCATGGTTAATTATAAGATCTCAAAACAACATCTACAAACCTAAACAATTCTTCCACGCTACAAGGCATCCCCTACCTGAACCAATTGAACCAACTTCTATGTCAGCAGGCTTTGAAGTATCCTCAATGGAGACAAGCCATGTCCAATGAATTCACTATATTAGTAAAACAATGAACTTGGGATCTAGTACCACGGGAACCACATTGAGCCATAATTAGATGCAAGTACGTGGTCATTTTGTTTCAGAAAAATGAGCATTACAAGGCACGCCTTGTTGCAAAGGAATTCCATCAATGACCAAAGTTTGATTGTTTCAACACATTTAATTAAGTCTATCATAACTCAATTTTTATCCAAGGTTGAATAATAAAATTGGAAGCTCATGGATCATTTCCCAAAAAGTGTGAAGCCTGAAAGACTGAGAGGAAGAATTAGCAAAACGATGTCATTTTGCTTGTAAGCTGAAATCAAAATAAAGCCCAAGGTTCAATTGAACCCTAACTTCCGAAAAATCCCGATTCTTATTCCTTTACCACCAACCATCTCCAAAATTTCACAAACTCTTCTTGATATATCTCTAAATCCACTCGAAGTTTAGATAGATCATAGCACCATAAGAAGAGATTTTCGGATTTGAAATCCTTATCAAGAACTGAAGAGGAAGATTTTGAAATTGATTCAACATGGGAATCCTAATGCATAAAAGGTATGAATCTAGACTGAAAAAAGAGGTAGAGGTGGGAAGAACAAAGAAATCCCATTCCAAATAGAATTGGGTTGTTATTTTAGGGATTTGGATTGGATATTAGACGTACATTAGGATTGGGTTTTCCCTTTGTTTAGAGAAAGGGGGCCTTTGGCTTTAGAGAGGGCATGGGAAAAATTGAGAGAAGAAGGGAGAAGAAACCGAGAGATTGAGGGAGAGAAAGAGAAGCAAGACAAAAAAAAAAAAAAAAAAAAAAATCCATGTGAGGAAAAAAAAAGGGGGAGAAGGTGAAAAAGAAAGTAAGAAAATCTTGTATTCTTGAAGTTTTTGGCAAATAAATAAGTTTGGATTTCTTTTCTTCCTCTTCAAGTATGTTTTTTTTTTTTGGAACATGAAAGGGTTTGGAGTTTGAATTGTCTTCTTGATTTATTTTCTTTTCTATCTTTTTATTTCTTGGTCTCCCTATTAAAAAATATAGGAAAAATAAAAAATTGCTTACATGATGCTGTATTGGATGTATCTTTGTTGCGTATAATTTTCTTTGGGGGAAAATATGATCACTGTTTTGTTTTTGGAACAATGAAGTCTTAGGATTTGCTATTAGTTACATGTAGGAATGCATTAGATAAAAAAAGAAAAGAAAAAAA